CAAAATGTTCGAAATCTTCCCAACAGCTGTAAGAATACTCGCAACTCAAATTTTGGTACAAAAGTGTCAGTGATCTATCATTACGCCTAGCTGAATTTTCCGAAGATTTCTCAGGTAGCTACCATCCCGTTACCCTCGTTGTTGTCTGCGCCATCGTTCCTCCTTCAATCCCCCTCTCGGGTCCGTCTATACATGTGCCAACGGGTGCCTTCCCTATTCCCATCTCCGTTTAGAATCGTCCTTTCCATTTTTCTCATTCGGCCGGCGGCGCGGTTAAACCGCCAAACATCCCTTGCAACGTGATGTACATTTGCGTGTGTGCATGACGCCCGTCGAATATATCTGACGGTATTGATCGAATATCGCGGTATTTTGCGGCCCGACGATAAGCTCGACTCACCTAGTTATCGCATAACATTCGTCGGTTACGCAAGGGATATCGAATTTTATCATTTTTCTTCCATTTTCGCCATTTTTCTCTCCTTAATGGCCTATACAAATCGAAAGTTGCAAATCACCGGCGCGATTGGCGAATCGCACGCGTGTCACGTCGTAAACGCGAACACGAGTTCACCAAAGAGACCAAATTCCGCCATTTACATCGCGAGATAACACGTCGCGTTCAATATAAGCTCCATCGCTTCCTGCTTCCGCGTGCGAAAGGAAAGAATTTAAAAGGATATTCCTCATGCGAAATCAGAATCGGAAGAATCAGAACGCGACACATTTTATCTTTAGAACGCGCATAATAAATTGTTTATTATTAAAATGTACGCGTATAACTTGCAAAGATATGTAGACAGCGTAAAAAAAAAGGCAAAAGGAGGGTTCTTGAAGGAATGAAATAATTCGTCCGATCATTGATTTATCATTATGTATTTTATCTCATCGTCATTTACTCGCCAATTACTGCGCCAAAACGCCGAAACGTGTCTTGGGTGAATATACGATTCTGCGATGTCTACTACGTCTATTTATACCGAACTGCTCCAAGACGGGGAAAAGGAGTGAAAGTCTCACTGCGGCAAACGGAACGCGGGAACGCGTCGCGGAGCGCGAAACTGATTCTGAGGGTGTCTATATCCAGAATTATATCTCGATATTATAATAATATGTACAATCACAGATAATGCATTGTACGATAATAATATAATACAGAACGTCACCTTTTTATTTTTCGCTAATTTACTCCATTCCATCAAGTCTTTTATTTTTATAAATAAATTAATTTATAAAATAAGACTTATGAAATAATCACGTATCGTAATCTTTTCTATATATAAAAAGACTTATGAAAAATTAATTAACAATGCAATTAATTTTATTAATTTTCTTCCTTTACGTGTCACCTTCTATCATTCTCTCTACTTTCGTTAGTCTTATTTCTTTTGACATTGACATTACATCTTGAATCTTGTAATTAAAATAAGTATCATGATAAAACATTGAAAAGACGCAACTCTGATAAATATCATATATTGATATCATACATTTGATCTCGATAGTTTAGCCTTATTATACAAAAAGTTTGCAAATAAAATAATTTAGATATACAATACAGCATGCTAAAGAGCTTGTGCCATTGAAATGCTGTTTTTATAATAAACTACACTGTTAGAAAATTTGTGTATTTTTGTGAAAAAATTTGCTGGTTAAAATTTTTATGTTAAATAATCTACATATTTATATATGTATATTTTTATATGTATATTATATGTAAATTTCACACATATCTACTATGTTAACTGACCTTAACAAATATAAAATTATTAAAATGATTTAAAAAATATGTTAAAATAACACAATTCGTACGTATTTATTAAATATGTTAAAATTTACTCAAAAAAATCTTGATTTTGCTTTATAACAGGAGTGGGGATGACTTGTTATTATTCTTTGTATAGTTTCGGCATAGTCTCGAATCTTGACGCATCTCGACATGTTTCAGTGCTTTGTCTTCTAGTATTACGATACAAGAATTACTTCATCTATCTTTTAGCAGCTAATTCTTGTCATATACATTTTTATTTTATTGCTATTATAATTTAATTGAACTTATTATGTGAGTTATTGTTTAATTTTTAATTCATCTGAGATTATAAGTGCTTCTTGTAACTTAAAAGTATTTATTCTTCTCGTTCAGAAGTAAATTTAAGACTGTCTTTTTATAAAGTTTTTGATATAAGCGACATTTCAAAATTTTTTCCTACCATAATTTTGTAAAAATAGTGAAGAAATAAACTTTTAACAAATAAATAGTGTAACTTTTACATATATCAATTAAAAGTTTTAGCAGTTACATTTATAGACTGTAAAAAGGACACTTATGTGTTAATTTTATCACAAAAATTATGTTAATTGTAACACACAGTTAACTTAAAAAAAAATTAAGATCAAGAGTACATTTCTTTTTTGTTGAAATATTAACATAGTGTCGGTATTACTATTTAACACATCCATATTATGTTAAATTAACACAAAATTTTGAATGGACCGTTTGGGACATGTGATTTATGTTAAATTCAACATATTTTTCCCAACAGTGTATGATAATTCTTAGTAAAAGGGTTGTGTCAAAGTCCACTACATCCATATAATGCAATTAACGGAAGAAAACCGCTGATACACACAAAAAACACATGTGCTTCGGAAATTAGCATGTGCTAGAGCATCTCTGTGTCATCCCGGCCCAGAGTGTCACGAACAAAAAACGAACGCAAAAGTGAACGCTGAAGCGAACGCCTTTTGTATAGGAATTCTTCTCGGAACATTAGATAATGCTCAAAGTGACAATGCGCTTGTTCTTTTTCTCATCTGTCTTGTCGCACGATATTATCCTAATTTAAAATTAAATGTGAATTTTTGTTAATGTCTTTCTTCATTTCCTCCTTTTCTTCTATTTCTCACATGTTCAAAATTGCGTTTCACGCGTTTCATATTTTCAAAGAGATTTTATCACTCGCGTCAATGAGTTTGTTGACATAACGCGACACGATATTTTGGATTAATTTACGGCGAGGAAAACGGAGTGAAATTCGCGAAAGCACTTAGTACTCGTCAAAGAAGTTGAGGTTAATATTGTTTTCAAATGCTAATAAGACGCTACAAAACACGTCACGCTTGAACATAATGAGCAATCTTCAATTTTCATTCTCGTGATAGAAAAAATGATCGCAAATGTCAAATCCTTTTCAGTATCAGGTTTACTGGCATATAGAAAAATGTAAACGGTAAGATCTGAGTAATAAGCAGCAATTACAATCGAAATTGTCGAAAATGAGGAAATGTTATTTTAAAACTCTCCGCTGTAATTGGTCGAGTTGTTTACTACTAAAATTTTATTGCCTACATGTCTCTATATGCCGCAAGCATTAGATAGCGAAAAGTACGAAGTACGAAGCATTCGATGAGTCTACCAGCCAAACTACCGTTCGCAGTCACCTAGCAACGAGAGAAAAAGAGAGAGGGAGAGACAAAGCATACATATACACGCGCAGCCACGAAAAGCCAACATCGGGGGAGCGATTTGACTTTTCTACTATCAAGAGCAGGAAAAAAAAGAACAATTTACCATATCAACCATTCAATTCTGTGATCATACATGGAAAATCTGTCCAATACATTTGAAGATCAAGTCTTCACGAGAAATAAATTTAAATATTCATGAAACGGATGCTGCGTATTTTATTTATATTCAAACAAATATAACAATCAATTATCTGTAATTAATCTCTGATCTCTAACTGATAAGAGATAGATTATAACGAAACGTTTCCTATCATTTGATATCGAAATAAATAGTTTATTAATATACACATTCTCGAAATAATTAACTTTTATTTCATTTTTTACAATTATTTGTATATTTGCACAGTTCATTAATAGTTTAATAATCCTATAAAAACGATATAGATTTTAGATAGAATTCTAAAACTCCAAAAGTTTTTGACTAGATTCACAGAATCTTAATATGATGAAAATAAAAAAACAGAAAAATGTATTCGCTCGATGCTTTTTCACGCTTAGAAAATGTTCCTATCGAACACATTTTTATCAAAATAGAAAATGTGCAAGTTATATATCTCAACATTTCACGTAATCGACGATTGGCCGTTAATAGCGCATCTTACCAGCGATGCTTTATTCCAGCGTGTTTGTCTATCAACGAGCGCGAATCCTGTGTACGATTTCATCGAGGAAGAGGCAATGCGGAATGAGAAAATGCATAAATACGAGTACGTACGCCGTAAAAAGAAATATACGTGTGTATACGTGTATACGTGTGATACGTGTGGATGAGAAAGAAAAGGGAAGAAAGAGCTACGAAGGGAACAGAGAATACGCGGAGTACAACAAAAAATAGACGAAGAGAACATCGTCCGTCAGTCCGTCTGCCCGCCCCATTGCTCCATCTCTCGGCACACAACACAAATGTTGTCTGTATGCACCGTCAACCGGCGGCGCATGCTTGGCGTTGTACACGACTCTATTTTGCACGCAGTATGTGTGTGTGTATGTGTGTGTGTGTGTGTGTTTTGCGCTCGCGCGCGCGCGTGTGTGTGTGTGTGTGTGTGTGTATACGCGCGCGTATGTGTGGTGTATCTATACGTGCGAACCTAGGATGTATGCGAACATACTTACGTGCGAGCATGCGAGGAGAAACGCTACCAGCGAAGACGAGAAGGGACGCTACGTGCTTCAAAAACCGCACAATTCCGAATACGAGTAAATGCACGCCGCACTCGGACACACGTTCCTTACGCGGCACAATCGACGACAACGACAGCACAACGACGACGCAACGATATAACTACCACGGTGGCGGCAATATCGCAATGTACATACGAAGCCTCAATGGCCAAGAACGACGTCTCGGGATCTTACTACGTCCTCTGTCTCTCTCTTTTTCTCTCCCTCTTCCTCCCTCCTTCCCTCCCCCCGTCGCGCCTCTTTGGCGGCCTCTCTTTGTGCGGGGTAGCCAGCTTACGATGTCGCGTGGTACGGCGCGATCTCGCCGTTTGCATTATTCCCAAATCGATCGATCGCGATCGGGACGATCGCCCATACTCGCATCGGTTTGCGCCTCGCGTCGCGAGGCGATCGTCTCGAAAACAACGATGAAAAATGAAATTTCTCGGGAAAACGATGAGGAAATCGTGACAAACAGGGCGGTCACGAAATTACGAGTGCCGGTGGACAGCGCCGCGCGGGGCACTCGCGAACTAATGGCACAACCGCAGCCACCAACTCTCGATGCGAGACGACGAGGACAGGCGAAGAGGGAGCGCGCGCAACAGTACGTTCCACCGACGATGTCTCATACCGAACTAAACGGGAGAGTTGGAGCGGGAGATGCCCTTCCCCCTTCCGCGGGCTCTCTCCCCTCCCGTCCTTACCGACCCTTCTGATCCGTTCTCCTCTATTCTTTCACCCGTTCACTCGCTCTCTCGCTACCTCGGCTTTCTCTTCTCTTTCGTCCCCGTCATCATTGTCCGTCTTTCTCGCCTGTCCTTCGCATCTGATGCGACCAGCTCTGCCGGTTCGTTTGGCTCGTCCCTCCTCGTCCCTCCTCGTCTCTCCTCGTCATCCTTCGTCGTTGTACATGTGTGCTCACTTGCTCTCGTTCCCTTTCCATCCTTTTCTCTCTTTCCCCATATATTTTTCTCCCACCACTTCTACCTGTAACACTTCTACCTCCTCGCACTTGCCCTCCCTTTTCAGAGTGCCCCTCTCTCTTTGACCGGATAGTACTAACACAGTAACGTTGAATTGCCCCTCTCGCAGTAGTAGCACCGAGTCCCCTTCCCGCGTGTTAATCGTTACCAGCTGGGGTTACACGACTGCCAACTTTCCCCGCTTCCCCCTTGTTCCCGTGCGCTTATCCGTCATGGTATTCCTCTGTCGCACAGCCCCCTCCAGGTTCTACCATCTCTCTTTCCCTCTTCGCTATATAAACCAAGAATAGAGAGTAGCCCTTGTCTCTTTCTTTCTTTTTCATTTTATCTTCTTCGCTTTCCTGTTCTCCCTCCTCCCATATGGCCTTCTTCTCCCTTTTCTCCTTCATACAAGTTTCTCTCAGCCTCCCCTCCCTGAACCTCTCGATCATCCTTTATCTCGCAACTCTGGTCGCTTCTCCCCATTTTGTTCTATATGTTTGTTCCCTTACATCGAGCGCCCTTTTCGTCCATCTTCCTCTCCCTCCCCTCTTATTCTTTCTTACTTTGTCTCTGTCCCCTCTCTTTTTCTCCACTATTCCTTTCCTTCTTGAATCTCTATTTGTTCCGCTGTTCTTTTTCTCCGAAAAGTGGCTCCCCACTTTTAGTCTTTCTTCTCTTATCTCTTTCTTTATGCTCGTTCACTGCCTGCTCTGTAATCGCACCTTCCCTTTTGTTCGTATCCTTCTCCCTTTTTCTTCTCTTCTTTCTTAGTAGGTGTAATTTTTCCTTTTTTCTTTTTTTTGCCAGTTCTTCCTTCTTTTTCTTGTATAGATTACAACGCGGCAGCTCCCGCGATATACGATCATCATTTTTTATAATCTGCGGTTTACCTGATGCCTATGATCAAAAAAAAAACACTGTTGCATATTCGAATGTAACATAAATTTCAAATAAATCACGTTATTTTCATTCTAAAAAAAGGAATTATTAGTCTTTCGCATGTGATGAACGTGTCAAGAAAGTCTCAAAGTGGCACGCATGATGTTCCCTAATAACATGCGACATACTGCGAATCATTCCATTTTCGTACTTCTTGTACTGTGATAATCTGTAATGTACTGAGATCCATGCTAGAACATCACTGACAGTATCATTTGGTTTTTTTTCGTGCGCGTATATTCTTAGAATTTCCACAGCGGTACATACGCTTTTTCATCACACGCGTATATTCTCAGATTATACTCAGAGATACGAAAATGATATGTACGCCTTTCTATCGCACGCGTATATTCTATAGATGTAACATTTGTCACGAAATATTATCATTTATCGTCATAAATATATCGTCATTTAATCGTTATTTTTAAGCCATTTTTAATAAATAAATAATGAAATAACATTATTAATTACTATCTTTCTTTAATTAACTAATTAACTATAATATATAAATAAGAAAAATATTTCGCATATTTAATACAATTATTAATAAATTCATAAACAAATAAACAAAATATATAAAACAATTTATAAACAATTTTCATAAGAAAAATGATTCTTATTAAACATAATATATTCACAGCTTTATATATGTAATTAAATTATCTACAAGAATTACATATGCAATCGAGATTTTAAAATTGAGACTGTTTATATGACAATAGTAACATTTATTAACCAGATCTGTCATATTTTATGCAAAAATTCTGTATTCACTTATATCATTATTTTAGTAGCAGGTTTCATTCCAACGTGGAAGTGAAGCAGCATCGAGCCAGAATCTCAAGTTGGATCTCAAGTGGAGGGATGGTCGTTTTAGAAATATGATACCAAGATAAAAGATGTTTCATCACTTTCTCTTATTTTTTTTTATTTTTTCATTATTTTTCATTTTTTCATTATTTTTTTGTAAGGGGCGTCACGTATATTATAGATTTTCAGTGCTAGCAATCAATATCGGAACGCAATCTTAATCTACTGAAAACTTCCCATTTTCATCCTTTCCTAATACTGTCATCATTCGCTGCGAATATTCGCGGCGAAATTTCATAGAAGATGTTATCCCGGACATAAGAACGTACTTAGAACGTACTTAGTCGATCGCAGTATGTATGAGAATATTCTGAGATAATCGCAATATACGCATTGCGATCTTCTCAGAACATACTCAGAACATACGCGTGCTGTTAGAGTTGTAACATGACGAGTTATTTTTGACGACAACGTACATAACGACACAGGCAAATGTCATGTTATACACGATCAAAAATATCTAAGATACAATGTAGAACTAGAAACTAGGACTATACATTTATTGTAAGAAAACTGCGTCGCACAAAGAGTACATACAATTATATCCTATATAGAATTAAGATTGCAAATTATAGGATGCGCTGCACATTTAGAAAGATAAAATATATTTATGATAAAAATGTTACGATAGTTTGATTTGATTAAATCACGTAAATATTCCACTATGTTCTACTGTTTCTACTATGTCTTCTTCACTATATATGAAAATGTGAATATAGATATAAATCACATTTCTCAAATACTTAAAATTGATTCGAATAAATGAGAACCACTGATCTGTTCTTTCCTTTGCTCAGGTAGAGGTTGAATTAAGAAAGATGGCGGCAGTTTTAATGGAGAGACACCAATGGTTAAAGAGCAACACTAAAGCAACACTATAGCAACACTAAAATCGGTACGTTTGTTCAAGGTACATTTAACTTCAAAGTAAAATATAAATAGTAAAACCTTGATTTTCACTTCGTTTAAGCGCTTTCATATGGCTACTGCTATGAATACTGTCGTATTATCGCACTATACAATCAATATGATATATGTGTAAAAAACGCAAATATTAAAATAAAAATTTTTTCTGTGCGCTTTAAAGCATTTTTTACATGAAAATCTCTCGTTAAGTTTCTTCATTTGTATAAAACAATTATATATTAACAATTATATAAAGCAAGAAAGAAAGAAATATATATTCAATATAATGTATAAAAAGTCGGAGTGTAAAACACATCTTAATGATTAATTCGATTAATTGCGTTAATTTAATATAACTTGTGACAATATAACGCCTTTGCATTATGCATTATATCATGATCTAACGCAAAAAAAGTGTAGATCTAAAAATGCGCCAAAAAATGTAATGTACCGACAGTTTCGTATTTGTCGAGATGAAAACAGAGCGAGGATACGACTATGTATATGTGAGGAATGATTACATTTGCGAATAAATACATTCCGACATCTAAGATCCTCAATGCGAGTCTTCGTGTGCAAGTGAACAGTAGAGATCTCCGTGACACGTGAGGCCGCCGTCGCTATTTGCGCTTATGCCGCGCCTGCGCCATCCGAATATTCCTTCGCGTATATTTCGCCAAAGTGGTATCCTCTTCTTTTCTCTTGAGAAAATCTTGCAAATCTCATAGCACGTTGTCTAAATATATAACGACGAGATCGGTTGCATTAACGATCATCGACTCGTTTACATTTTTTAGTCAAGTGTCCAATAAACTTTCCTTCTTTCCCGTACTACAGATATGAATGAAAGAAAATGACATTCTTTTTATTAAGTGTTTTAATAAGTATTGTTCTATTCTAACTATTTCATTTTAATAATCGTATTTACTTAAAAAATCGTATTTACTTATCGTATTGAATAAAAGATGATATACGAATTGTTTTTTTTTGTTGATAATATTTCATTTTATTTCTAATTTGATCCCCTTTTTTCTTAGAATTAAAGCTCAGCTTATATAGGTATCCCGAGTCAAAATTTTAATCTTTGATTAAACCTTTTTTCTGTACTGTAATAAAAGCTAAAATATTTTCATTCTATTTTTTATCTCATTTTTATTTCAGCAGATTAGGAAAATTGCAGATTAGGATTCAAAGTATTGAAAATATACTTGGCAATTTATTTACTATTATTGTTATTTTACAGATGTAATGTATTTTACAGATGATTAAATATCATTAGGTTTAAGAAAGTGAAGTATAAACGAAATAAGAAACAAAATGGTGATATAAGCGGCATTAATCGAAATAATCGATATAAATAGAAAATTAAACTGGGAAATCCTAGTCGATCTATTCTCTAAAATCGAATTAGTGAAAAAATCTCTGATTGAAACTGACAGTAAAACAATATTTCATTGGTAATTAGTGACTATTAACTGTATTTCAGTGAAAACATTCTCACTTAAGCCCTGCGCACAATGGAGGAAATATTAGGAATAAAAATATATAATATAAATAAATAATATTAAATTAGGAATAAAAATAAATATTAAATATTAAATATTAGGAATAAAAAATAAATATTAAAATTTTAGAAATAAAAATTTATAATAAAAATTAAACGTAATACACAATGAATACAAGTAAGTATAAAATAGAGCTATATTTTATACTTATTTACATTCATTATGCGTTATATTTAATTTTCATTTCCAAAATTTAATATTTATTTCTGTTCCAAATATTTGCTCCATTGTGCGCAGGCCCTTAGGCTTTTCTGTTTTATATTTCACTGATTTTGGACAGTGAAAAAGATTTCACTACAGATCGCAGTTTAGTTTTTGTACTTGTGCGTTGTTTATTCCTTTATCATCGTGCATGTCAGTACATGTCTCTCTCGAAACATCTTGAAGAGCAAAGATACAGCATTTAGTAAGTTTAATTAGTTTTTGTAGAATTATTATTTGTTACGACAAATTTTTATATCCTGTTCGTGATTTTTGTAATAGATTATGTGATTAAACATTATTACTTGCTTTATTAAAGAGACAATATTTTTTTGCATATGTTTATTACATCCTGTTGTTATTATTTCTTCATTATTTTTATCACAATGAATATATAAATTTATTACTAATTTTTTCTGACTTTTACTACTTTCGTTGTATTAGACAATGTTAGGTTAGGATTAAGTTATATTGTGAATAATGTGTTATATTATGAAAAAATATTGATACTTATAATGTTTTCGATTACAAAAGAGTTAACCGCACTTTGGTCTAATCTCTTGGATTATTATTGACTAATTTTACATTTTAATAAATGTACAGGTACAAATAATTTTTATTTATTTATTATTCATTATTCATTAGTTAATATTAACTGATTAAAATAGTATCACTGATTGTGCTGATATGCAACCACTATTTCCTGCAGTCAAATATCACTGATAGAAGCATTACTTTTAACTGATTCTTTTAGTGAAATTTGAGTGATTTGCAATACTATACTTATAACTGAGTAGACACTGAGACTATCAGTGTCTATTCACTGTTTCTCAGTGACAATACACTGATTCGATTTTAGAGAGTATGTTACCGAATGAAAAGCTAGAGAACAGAATGGGGAACCAATGTGACCGTCATAATGGAGATATCAAATCCAAGCAGAGAACGTAAGCAAATCAACTTATAGAATAATCATTTGAGTAATTATTTTGATGTTTGATACTTGTTTCTCACCAATAGCAGGAATCGACATTACAAGATAATTTTAGTTGTAATTGTTGTAAAAAACGATTTTCATTATTTTTTTGAAATAACATGATGTAACATGAATAACAAATTCTTATTCATTCCT